ATGGGGGGGGGGGGTGGGGGGGGGCAGTCGACACGGGACACGACACCATAAAAGTCTGTCTATCTGTCTGTGTGTGTGCGTATGTGTCTTTAGATGTGCGTGCAGCCGGAGACGGCTGTATTCGGGGGTTTGCAGAACTTTGGTCTCCCATTTGAGGCTTCCTTTTGCGTCAATATGTTGAGGTCAGAAAGTGGGTTGCCCTTTTTATGGAGCCCCCATGACGCGTCTTCAGGTATCCTTTCTGTCGTTTTCTGACTGCAACAAGTTGCTGCTCAGATTGCAAGCGTCAGACAATTAAGCTAGCAAAAACGGGACATATCCTTCTTGCATACTTCACACCTAAGACATGTCAGCCCAGCGTCTATGTGCCCCCCTCCGGTTACAGCTTCGGATGTAGCAGCAAACGCTGCAGAACTGTCATGATTGTCCGCGCTCGCAAAGAATCAGTTTCAGCATGGGATGTGGGGTTACGCTCGAGAGTTGGCAGCGCTCGAAGCAACCTCGCCTGTTCCGTTCCTATGGAGTGCGGGCAGCGCTACCTGTCACCTTTGGGTTTGGGGCAGATTCCTCCCAGTCAGTCGGTGCAAAGCTGTGAAGCATCGCCTCAATCGTCTCTTTACATGCCTAGGGGTCACGGCCTGTGACGGCTTGCGAATGGCTTTTTAATCTAACCTTCCAGGCCTGACCAAGCAAGCCCTCCTCCCTCACGCCGCCCCCCCCCCCCCCNNACCCCCCCCCCCCCCCCGGCGCGCCCCGCCCCCCCCGGCGTAGGCACGGATTCCGTTTCCCCGCCGCATACATACAGACCCGCCAAATCCCTACAATCTCCTTCTAAAACCTTTGCGACATACCGAAAGCAGGGAGCTGTCAGCCGAGGAGCCTTCGTCCTCTGCTGGCGACGGGACGCCCGCTTTGAAGGATCCTGTCAGCCCGGAGCACGGCCAGGACTTCTAGAGCGCTAAGGGTTCAGGGTTTTGTTGGGCATGACTATGAACTCCGAGCCTTCGTAAGAGAGACAGAGTCTCCGTGTGTTGCGGTTCTTTGATGTTCTTTGACAATGTCAACTTACTGGTTCTTGGTAGGGAATAAGGGATATAATCCCTATAAAATCCTCATATACTGTATTCCCTTATTCCCTACTAACTCCCAGTAAGTCAGCGTTATCACGTACCAATTTCAGGATCTTAAGGGGTGCTGGAAAGGTTGAAGGCTTGCGGACGCTTGGAACTTGCAGGCCTGCAACTGACCAGATGAGAAGGAGATAGATTGCGACAAAAGAAGGGAGTCCGGTTTGGCCATAGATAACCCCAACATATTATGTAGTAGCTTCCGTTTTCTTTTCCATCATCCCTAATTATAAGCTTATATTATGCCCCAACACATCCCAACATTACCCTACCCCGCCCCCTTTTCAAGTTGCTTTGCTTCTGAACCTGCTTGGCGGGGCCTTAGCTATAAAGAAGTGAAAAAGTCGAACAAAAAAAGGCAACGACACGGCCAGCAGGGAATACAGATAGGCAGGTGCCCCTACCCAATTGCACGGATGCTGAGTAACAACGCTCTGCAATCAGCCCACTCATCCCAAAATCAAAATGGAAGGATGACGACTCGACCAGCACGGCTATGGACAGCGGGACTTCGCGGAGTAGCGGTGCCTGCGCCTAGTTTTCCTACACCTGGAGATTCATCGGTAGTTATAAGCCTGGTTATGAGTTCCAAGTAGGAAACCCAATTTTATTTTTACCTCTTCACGTAGAAGCACACGCCGTGAAGATAGTTCGCAAGGAGAGGACGAGAACCTGTCAACAAGAAGTATGAAATGGGTCTTTGACGGGATGTTTCGTAGTGCAACTGAGAGATATGGCATCATGTATGTGGATGTCTTATGCGGGCACACTTGTTGTTAAGGCATATCCACAAGAAAGCAAACGCCTTTTACTAATCTTTTTGGGGTCGCAAAGTAGAGTAGCTGCAATGTGCAGGGATCGGGTTGGCATCAGGGCTGTGATCGACAGTTCCGGCACGTGATTGTAGGGGTTATGTAGGGATAATGGAAAAGAAAATGGAAACTACTATAAACTATATTGGGGTAATATAGGGAAACTACTTTATACTATATTGGGGTAATATAGGGATTATATACAAAGGAGGAGGATTGGGCCTTCGGCTTTGCAGCTGGCCAGCTGACTTCGATATGACGTGCGTGTGGGGCTTCAGCAGTTTTCAATCAGACTTGCTTGGGGGTTCCCAAAATTAGGGGTACCACTTTGGGGGTACCTATAATAAGGACCATAGTATTTGGGAGTTTATATTGGGGTCCCCTTATTTTGGGAAACGATCGCTTTGGCCGGAAGGCCAAACGTCAGGAAGAAGCCCATAAACCATGTTCACAGAGATCAGCCCGTATACCCTCGCAAAGAATGTCGAAGCTGATTCCGCGAAGCTCGTCACGGGATGTTTCGGTTTCGGGATTAAAGCATCTTTCAATAAGGGTACCAGTGTATACACCCAAACTATTCCATGACCATCATAACGGACCTTACTGGTGTTTAGTGGGACGAAGGGAATCGAATCCTAGAGAGCCCCTATATAATCTATTCCCTGATCCCCTACTAAGCCTAAACCTTAAACCCTAAAGCCGAAACCCGATATGCCATATTCCCCTATTCCCTACTTACCCGGGTAAGCCTCAATCCTAAACCCTATGTAATATTTTCCCATTCCCCCCCTTTAATAATAGGTC